AAGTGCAGTACAAGCTGGTGCGGTGGCATAGTGTCCTTCTGGATGTGCTTGCAAATCCCGATTGGCAGCCCACAGATTCTGCAGCACCTGTACTTCCCTCATTCACTGCCCAACCCGGAATTCAGGTGGAAACCACAAATTTAAATACTACCCTTCATTTTTTGGAGCTGTTTTTCATGGAAGATCTGTATGCATTAATTGAGGATCAAAGCAATTTATAATGCACAACAGTTTATCGCTGCCAGCCCGGATTCAAACCTTGCCAGACCATTCGCATGGAAACCCATTATGGTTTCCGAATTTAAAGTGTTTTTGGGCCTAACCCTCAATATGGGCATTAATAAAAATAAAGTCAATTGCGATTGTATTGGTCCACAGACCCGATTCATCATATCCCGTGTTCTCTGCTGCCATGGTCAGGCATAGATATGAGAGTATAATGTGTTTTATGCATTTCAATGACAAGACACTCTGTTGTCATCAGGGTGACCCTGAATTTGACCTGCTCCACAAAATTCGGCCCCTCGTAAATCACCTTAACCAAAAATTTGCAGATGTCTATACTCCCCAGCAAAACATCTACGTTGATGAGTCCCTTATTAAATTTTCTGGCCGCCTTGCATTCAAACAATTTATCCCCAGCAAGAGTGCCAGATATGGGGTCCAGTGGTATAAGACCTGTGAGAGGGCAACAGGCTATACATATAGGTTTGGATTTATGAGGGAAAGATGTGGAGCCCCCCGGATGCCCAGACTACATGGGGAGCAGTGGAAAGATACTTTGGGACTTGATGTCATCCTTTTTCAATATAGGGTACCACTTATACATGGACAATTTAAAAAAAAATAAAATAAATAAAAATAAAAAGTACATATCTCCCAAAAAATAAAAAAATGTAAAAACCTAAAATAGTTATAATTTTTTTTTTGTTGTTGTTACTGTTCTACTGTTACACTTTTACTGTTTTGTTACTGTTCTATTGTTAACCATTGCTGTTTTTCTTTTCAGGAATGCTTTCAGCTGTAGCACCGACCTGTTTATTCTGACAGCAACAGAACTTGCTCTCAGAATATACATGTCAGTGTGGGCAGCGCTGTTGGATGAGATTTTTCATCCGCAGTTAAAAAAAGCATATATATGCCGAAGCATGGGGGCCTGGGGTGGCCAGTGGGTGGATGGCCCATGTGCTTTGGCATATATATTTTATAAATATTTGTTTGCACATTTCATGTGTGCCCACCATTAGAAGTGGGTGGATACAGGGAGGTATATTCTAATACGGTGGGCATACCACACATTTCTTCTGGCAGAGATTTCTTCTCTTTTTTCATTCAGCCCACAGGCTACATAAAAAAAAAGAACATAGCATATACACCCAACAAGGACCTGCGACATACTGGTACATCACTAGACTTTGACTGGTTATACCAGGATGATGCCTGCAGCTGCATGCATCATCCTGGTATCCTTTTTTTCAGCCAGCGATGGGCTTTCATGTAAAAAGCAATCCTAGTGGCTAATTAGCTGCAGGATTCCTTTTACAAGCAGTGATAGAAGATGCCCATTTGTTTTTCAGGCTCCTGTATGTGGCTAGGCTCCCAAAAAGTCTCACACATGTGGTATCCCCATACTTGGTAGAAGTATGCAGAATGTATTTTGGGGTGTAATTCCACATATACCCATGGCTTTTGTAAGCAATATATCATTTAAGTGACAACTTTGTGTAAACAAAAGTTTAAATATGTTTTTGTCATTTTTCCAGAAATTTGTGGAAAAAAAATAAATCTTCCATGGACTCAATATGTCTCTCAGCAGATAGTTTAGGGTGTCTACTTCTGAAAAGGGGTAATTTGGGGGTGTTTGTACTGTCCTGGTATTTTCGCACCACAAGAAATGTGATAGGCAGTCAGAAAGTAAAAGTTGTGTAAATTCCATTACCTATACCATAGTTTGTAGACACTATAACTTTCACACAAAGCAATAAAAATACACTTATTGGGATTTTTTAACCAAAAATATGTCGCAGAATACATTTTTGTCTGAATTTATGACGAAATTTGAGTTTTTTGGATATTTTTTATGACAGAAATGAAAAAAGATATTTTTTTTTCAAAATTTTCACTCTTTCTTTGTTTATAGTGCAAAAAATAAAAAGCGCACAGGTGATCAAATACCACAGAAAGAAAGCTCTATTTGTGTGAAAGGATATAAATTTTGTTTGAGTACAGCTTTGCATGGCCGCGCAATTGTCACTTAAATTAGTGCTGCGCTGTATAGCAAAAAATGGCATAAATTGCAGTATCTATACCATAGTTTGTAGACGCTATAACTTTCACACAAAGCAATCAAAATACACTTTTTGGGATTTATTTTTACTAAAACATGTAGCAGAATACATTTTGGCCTAAATGTATGACTAACTTAGAGTTTACTATTTTTTTTTTATAGCCAAAAGTAAAAAATATCTTTTTTTTTTTTCATTTTCGGTCTTTTTTTGTTTATAGCACAAAAAATAAAAAGCGCACAGGTGATCAAATACCACCAAAAGAAAGCTCTATATGTGTGAAAAAAAGGACGTAAATTTAGTTTGTACAGCATTGCATGACCGTGTAATTACCAGTTTAAATAGTGCAGCTGCGAATAGCAAAAAAAGCCTGGTCATTAAGGGGGGTAAATCCTCAAGATGGCAAGTGGTTTAAAGGAGATTATTATGTGTAAACACTTCTATTTGTGGTATCTGTGTAAAGCTGACCATAGATGGATTAAATCTTGGCCAGTTCATCAGGGACCAGCTGAGGTTTGATCTATCAATGGGCAGGCATATTGAACCCAAGTTGATCCAGCGATCCACTTGGATACAACCAGCCTGTTGGATTTTTAGAATGCGATTACTGCCTGCGGCTATTGCAGCTAGCAGCAAGCATTGCTGGCAGAACAGAATAGCTCTGTGGGTGGCATATTCCCCATCAACATTGACCCATGGTGAAAGGAAAGAAAATCGATTAATCTATGGCTTGTCTAAGACATATTTGGTTAACACCTTTGCTAAACAACTGGTAAGAAAAAAAAGTGTAAGACACCTAGTGATTGCATTTGTTCTTAATTGGTTAGAGGAGCCTGATAAACGTAAGCTGACCATATATGGATAGCATTTTGCAGCAGAATTCTTGGAGAAAGAATGTTCTTTAAAAAACTAATAAAAAAACTATATTATTTTGGCAAAGCTTTTTAAGTACACACAGTCAATTCATTATCATAAGTATATCAAAATGGCAAAATGCTACAGTCATCACATCATATACAAGTTTCATATATAAAAGACATAAAAAAAGGCTAGGCTAGCGGTACACAATAACTGCAGCCTCTATACCACTTAACAAAAATTGTAATAACTGTAACCAAGAGAGGGGCCATAAAGCAGGGTAAGCACAAAAACAACCATTCTGACAGAATAACACATAGGTAACGTTAGTCAGTTTCCAAGTGCCCTACACTTCAGAGGAGGAACCTCCTCACGGAGTATCACGATACGTCACAATCCAGCTTCAGAGGTCTAGTGAATGGAACCTGTCCAGTGTCACAACGAGGGGTGGGCGACTTGCAAAGTACAAGGAAATAATCAGGGTCTCCGTTTTTACCAAAACTGTTCTTCCTTATTATGCAGAGTGGCAAAAAAGAATGCCCTCAGGATGGTTGGTGGTTGAGAGAGAATATATGGTTGCTGCATTTAGTAATTGCCCATTTCTGGAAGGGACCTCAGTTAGGTGCAATAAGCTGCGGCCAGGTATCCAGGTCAGCAGAGGTTAAATGTTTTGGCTATAAGAACAGGACAGGACCTAAAGATTGAAAGATATGCCCATATCTGCATTATATCGACATCAGGAACCACACTATTACATTTTGTCTACCCACCTGTGCTAGAAACTTTATTAAGCTGTGAAGCTATCTAAATCAGCCTCCCAGTGGCAGACAAAGGAGAGCTTCGGGAAAGAATGTTCTAAAAAGTTTCATTCCTTTTCTAATCATTAGTGGGTCACACTGACATATATTTTTGACTGAATTGACAAGAACATTTGAGCAGGAGCAGGATTGAAAATTTTTCTTGAACAGACAAACTTTTAGACGTGTATGTGGTTTTCATTTGGTAACATCCATTCATTCCAAAATAAAATGTTAAAAGAAAACAAAATCTTTTGAAAAGGACATTCGAATGTTCAGAGGATTTTCATATGAATTTTTCAGAAACGTTTTCAAAGAATTTTTGTTTGAAATTCTATCCAACTATGGCCAGCTCTACACTGAGAGAGAAAAACAGGTACAGGAACCAGTACAATTATTGTGCTGTATCCTATAGCTAGCCATATACTGTTCAATTTCTCCCCTTAGCCTGCCAGAGAAAATCAGTACATTCCACTATCCATGCTAAACAGCGTGTATGGAGGGGTCTCCACTGTGAGCTAATGTATTTAGGCAGCAACAGCACCTGCAGCTGCATGAATACCCAAACAGTGACTGCATCTGGTAGGCTGCAGCCATAGTTCCTCTTACAGCTTGAATTTCATCTGATTGAACAAGTTTAGTATCGCAAATGGGACTTGCTAAAAACAACAAAAAAAGTTTGGGCCTGGTATGAATTTTAATGGGGGAAAACCCACACAAAAGTCTACACCTAACCTGATCAGGCCACATGCCCTAGAGGGGAATAGCTTGCAAAGGAGGTCCACTTCGCTCTTGGGGAGCAAAACCCGCTACTTTATATGAAGTTTGGCTCCCAATGAACGAGCTAAGATTTCAGCGACAAATGTCCGAGTAAGCAAAATTCTAAGAGTTCTTCCCTAGTTTTACAACCACTTTAAGCTGTACTTTAAAGCAGAACTCCAGGCAAAAACCTATTTACATGTGCTTGTTGCTGATTTCCTACCTTCACTGAATATGTCATCCATATTTCTGGTTCATTTAGTAGTTGCTCTGAAACAGCCAGGGGCGGACTGACAACTCATGGGGCCCCCGGGCAATAGGGGATCATGGGGCCCCTGTGTCTTTGCCCAAACTCAAAAAAGCCTATGAAAAAAGTACCAGGGGCATCTCATGGGGCCCCCTACTGACCCCGGTTTCCAAATGGTCAGTCTGCCCCTGGAAACAGCCTACTCATTTTTGAATCAAACTGTGAATTCTCTTTGGTTTCCTGTTTGTAAGACCAGTGACTGCTATGTCTCCTATTCCCCCAGCCATTGGTCTTGATACATTCCTTCTGTAGTTCCTTCTTTCTCCAGAAAGCAGTGATGTAATTCAGCCCCACTTGTAGAGGTGGGCAGACTGATTCAACATGTACAGGCCTAGTGTACCCGTCTACATTCACTACAATTCCCTGTGGTTGATGGGAACTGTAGTTTCCTTTTACTGCAGAGAGAGAGGAGAGGATATGATGTAATCCCTGCTGTTACACCTCCTCCTTGGCAGAGCAGATGCTGTTATCTTTTGAATTAAAGAGATGAGGTCATGAAAATTCAATTAGACCCTTCTCCTGAATGGTAAGGATTTTCAAAATGTTATTAACTGTTTAGTGCTTTGTGTAGGGGATGTACTAATAGATGATGTTTCTTTGTCTATCCCGGAGTTTTCTTTAAGAACTCTCTGTACTGCACCAGAGCAATGAATCACATTCAGAGTTTCATTCTACCACTGTCCTGTTCCCCAAGTAGGTTTCCAGCTGACTATTGGGAACTTACCAGCTATTTTAATTGAGGTATATTTTTAAATACAGCCTATTCTTTTTAGAGCTGACAGTAGAGCCACATTAACATTTAAATTATTTTGTACACACTGGGGAATGTACATATGAATATCTGTGTAGGTAGAAGAATTTAAATAAATCTGTCTGTACCTTGACTAAGTGACCATGCTATTACTATTAGGAAAAATAAAAACAGGACTAGTTAATTTGAATATAAATGCAAATACTCTGAATTTTCAAGGTAAAAAGTGCATGCATGCATACTTGTAAAACCTATGGGGTCTATTTATAAAAAAAAATGCATAGCCCAGTGTGCCCAGTGAATCTGCATATACATTTCTCCTGTGAGATTAGATAAAAACAAATGTTGTTTAGGCTATATTCTTTTCTGAACAAACAAATGTTCAAATGTAGTTGAATAAAGAATATGGGCACTGGCTGGAGCAAAGGAGCACAGGAAATACATACACTCACCGGCCACTTTATTAGGTACATCTTGCTAGTGTCAAGAAAATATCCCCCTACACCATTACACCACCACCACCCCCACCAGCATGGACTGTTGATACAAGGCAGGATGGATCCATGTTTTCATGTTGTTTATGCCAAATTCTGACCCTACCATCTGAATGTCGCAACTGAACCAGTCTGCCCATTCTCCTCTGACCTCTGACATCAACAAAGAATTTTCCTTCACACAACTGCCGCTCACTGGATAATTTCTCTTTTTCGGACCATGCTCTGTAAACCCTAGAGATGGTTGTGCGTGAAAATCCCAGTAGATCAGCAGTTTTTTAAATAGCTCATCTGGCAGCAACAACCATGCCACGTTCGAGGTCACTTAAATCCCCTTTGCTCCTCATTCGATGCTCGGATTGAACTTCATCAAGTCGTCTGCACCACTTTTTGATGTCTAAATCAGCAGTTTTTTAAATAGCTCATCTGGCACCAACAACCATGCCATGTTCAAAGTCACCTAAATCCCCTTTACTCCTTATTCCAATGCTTGGATTGAACTTCATCAAGTCGTCTGCACCACTTTTTGATGTCTAAATGCATTGAGTTGCTGCCATAGGATTGGCTTATTAGCAATTTGTGTTTCCAAGCAACTGAACAAGTGTTCATAAGGTGTACCATCCAATTTAGCCAAAAATAAAAACACCAAAAAGAATACCCCTGGACTGTTCATTGAGTCAAAAAGAGTGACTGTAACCATGTGCCTTGCTGCGGGGCAACTGTTGGGACAAAAAAACACTGGGCATCTTGAAGCGGCTCCTACGGGGGTAGCACTAAATATACTGTACTGTATAAATATAAACATTATCTCTTGATACAAAGGCCTATGTATTTTCTATACTCCTCAGCTCCATCTAGTGGCCATAATACAAGATCATTCATTCAGAAACGAAAATAGCTTAACCACTTCCAGTCCGGACACTTTCACCCCCTTCCTGACCAGGGCAATTTTCAGCTTTCAGCGCTATCACACTTTGAATGACAATTGCACGGTCATGCAAAACTGTACCCATATGAATTTTTTACCATTTTTTTGAGACTAAAAAATGAGATAAAGCTTTATTTTGGTGGTATTTATTCACCGCTGGGATTTTTATTTTTTTTGCTATGTAAATGAAAAAGTCCAACAATTTTGAAAAAAAGTGTTTTTCTTATAAAATTTTGCAAATAAATAATCTTTCATCATAAATCTTGGCCAAAATGTATTCCGTTATCTTTTTAGTAAAAAAAAAAAAAAGGCAAATTATTTTATAACCAAAAATTATAATTTTTAAACAATTTTCTTACATTTTTATTTATTTTTTTTTATATTATATTTTTTTTTTTTTTTTAACATACTGTCACCCTAGCAGTACAGTGTCACCATGGTAACACTGTACTACTAGTGGGGGGGGTGATGAAGATTTTTTTTTTTTTTTTTTTTTACAGTGATTGCTTTTACACCCATATAGGATGTAAAAGCAATCATTTCTCTTTATCTCTGTCTGCATTCTTGCAGCCACTGAGAACTACTGAGTGAGCTGTGATTGGTCACAGCTTGCCACATGGTACAAGGCTGTTGTGAATAGCTTTGTACCATGTGATCTCTGTGATCATTCACAGATTTCACACGTAGTAAGCAATGATGTCACAAGTGACATCTTGCTTACTACTTTGCATGTGATCACTGATTGGCCAGTCCGTCGATCGGTGTTTCACTGTGTCCGGAGGACAAAGCGGGCATTGGATCGCAGTGCTGCACACTCCCAGGGAGCGTGCACAGCTAGAAATGGCGAGTGCCGTTTATGAGCGGCAACCCGCCCCTGGAGTGCCACCGTCCTGAAGTTTATAAACAGCAGGCGGACGGCAAGTGGTTAAAGAAAATTTGTGTTTGCCCAATTTGCACACAGTAAATTTACATGCAGATTCACTGGATGAATGGCTTTGCCTTTTTTTTTTTTCTTTTATAAATATACCATTTAAAGTTTCATGGTTTTCCTAATATGTTTCCCATCTGCTGTGCAGGCATAGCAGCAGGATCCTGGATTCTTTATGACCTGTTGGCTTTAGCTCTGCTTGTTGTACAGCTTAGATGTCATAGGCTTATCACACACCCCTCTATGTATGTCATTATGCTGATACAGTTGCATTAGCTGCAGAGACCACCATTGAATAATGTGGGTCCCATTTTTGCCTTGTGTTTTCCTTTCTCATTTGATTGACAGCTGTATTTAGTATAACAAGTTGCAGATATAAAAGCAGCAGAGGGAGGAGGGTGGGGATTGAACTGCCCTATTACATACCAAATAAAGAATTACCTTCAGGGAACTTCCCCTTTCTTACATCACTTTCCTTAGAAAGTAACATCGGCTTTATCATCTTCAACTACTAAATGGGATAAAGTCTGCAAAATGGCATATGGATAACATAAAACAGTGTTTCTCAAACAGGGTTCCTCCTAATCTTGCTAGGGATTCCACGAGCAGTGAGCAACAGCAATGGCAAGGGGACATCCAAGCAAGGGGTCCACTACTGTTTGTTAGAGGACACTAACCAATCTCATGGGCACTATGACTGTTTGCTGTATTGTTTGTAATAAAATTATCAGATATGATTGTCAGCACCCTGTAGTGGCCATACTGTTGTCTTTTTCCTGGTTTTCCTTGCTAAAAAAATACCACATTTATGGCCACTAAATGGAGCTGATGATCATAAGAGATAATTCATTACTAACAATACGGCAAACATTCTTGGTGCCTGTGTGAATGGTTAAGACATTTGCAGAGTGAATGTTTTATATGTAAACCCCTAAGTTACAGGACACCACAATTTCTAAAGTCTGCCTTTCTTTTCTGTTGTTGTTATTCTTGTCCTTTTAAAAACACTACTTAAAATTATTCATAGAGGGGTGGTAAAAAATTATCTGCCTTGGGTGTCAAATATGTTAGGACTGCCACATTACTTATTTTGTTATTTAAAACTTTGTTTAACTTATTGATTACAATAATGTACCATACGCTGTAGGGTGAACCATCTTTATCAGGGCTTCCTCAAGACCTAAACATTATTTAAATAGTATTTAAGGGGTAAAAATATTGAGAAAGGCTGGTGTAAAATATTGATAAAACAAAAAGGTAACATAGATATGAAAATATGCATGCATTATTATTAATTTGCAATTTTAAAGTGTTTGCATTAAAAAACAGATATTTTAATTTAATGATTATGTCACAATGAAATGGGAGGGCCAGCACATGCTGACAGGAATGAAGAAGAGGTATCATCTCATTAGTATGTTCCAGGTAGGCCCAGAGCAAAAAAAAAAAATAAGCGCAGGGTCGACATGACTAGGGGGAATAGAGGGACAATAGAGGGTTAAATTATGAGAAGGAAGTTTTGGGGATTAAGGCTTACATTATTGGATGGGGGATGTTGGGGAGGGTCTCCCAGGGAGGAAAGGAGGGTCTATCCTCAAGAAGTCCAGTGGGGGAAGCTAGGAAGAAGAAGAAGCTTCCCACCCTCCCTCCCTTTCGTGCTTTGGTTTGGATTGTCACGGCAGCCTTGGAAGTGGTTGGTCTTTGGAGGAGGAAAGAATTCTGTATGGAGACAGATTTGGGACCCATCAGTGGTTTGGGGACCTCGGTAAATTCCATTAAACAAGAGGTTAACTCGGAATAGGTAAAATGGTGAACACTGTGGATAAGTAGGGTTATCCCCAAGCTGGTGTGTTGCAACTGGGGATAAGTAGGATTGTCCCTGAGCCGGTGGGTTGTGGCTGGGGGCCTAACTTGAAGGAATGTTTTCTGAAAAAAAAAGTGAAGTTGGGTTTATGGCCCTCAAAAGACCACCACATTTTCATCTGTTGATAATTTGGAATGTTATGTTATCTATGTTAAAATAATTTATTGGTTAATAAAAGGCTGCTATGGCTATTTTGACTCCAGAAACTTGTTTGTGGATTTTGTATAGCTGGGATGGTGGAGGGTTGGCCTAGCAGGCTTGGTTAGGTTGGAAGGCGTATATTCTACCCTTGTCATGGACTTGTCCAATCAGTGAGCTGGCATTGTATTCTGGATCAAGCCATTCTGCTGCAGTTGAGATCCATGGCCTGGTTGCAATGCCTTGCAGGGATGTATGGATCATTTATTCTTAGAATGTGCTCTTTGGTTAGTAAAAGGTAGAATTTTAATGTGCTTGTGTATAATTTTCTATTTCATGAATATACAGATGCACACAGACTCATCTTGGAGTTTATTTCCACATACATTTGCTGATACAGTTGATAATATGTTAGATTAACCTGTAGATAAAGAAGACCTTGTATGAAAACATAATATGATTGCAGCCAAATCCACATTTCCTATTTAGGTTCAATAAATAATTGAAATGCAAGGTTGAATAATTGAAATGCAAGGTAACAGATTTAAAAGTATGCATGCACTATTATTAATTTTTTGTTTTAAAGTGTTTGCATTTAAAAACAGATACTTTAGTTTTAATTTAATGATTATGTCACAGTAAAATGGGAGGGCCAGAAATCTAAGCTATTTAGGCTCTATATCAGTGTCAGGAACATGCTGACAAGAGGGGAGCAGAGGTATGATCTCATCAGTATGCAATCAGTGGGCTGGGGTTGTGTTCTGGATCAAGCCGTTCTGCTGCAGTGGAGATCCATGACCTGGCTGCAATGCCTTGCAGGGATGTCTGGATCACAAAACTGACTGAACAGATTTACAACTGTGGCAGGAAACATGCTTCATATATATACATTTACAGTTGCAAGAAAAAGTATGTGAACCCCTTAGGATTACGTGGAGTTTTGCATGAATTGGGCATAAAATGTGCTCTGAACGTCATCTAAGTCACAACAATAGAAGAACACAGTCTGCTGAACATAATACTACACAAACATTAGATGTTGCCATGGTTTAATTGCACATAACATGTAAACATTCACAGTGCAGGGAGGAAAAAGTATGTGAGGCCCTAGCTTAATGACTTCTCCCAGAGCTAATTGGAGCCAGGAGTGAGCCAACCTTGACTCCAATCAGTGTGATGATATTGGATGTGTTGCTGACAGCTGTCCTGCCCTTAAAAAACACACACCTGTTTTGGGCTTACTGATTTCAAGAAGCACTGTCTGATGTGAACCATGCCTCGCAGAAAAGAGCTCTTAGAAGACCTACCATCAAGAATTGTTGACTTGCATGAAGCTGGAAAGGGTTACAAAAGTATTTCCAAAAGCCTTGATGTTCATGTGTCTACAAATGGAGAAAGTTTAGCACTGTTGCTACTCTCCCTAGGCGTGGTCGTCCTGTAAAAATGACTGCAAGAGCACAGCGCAGAATGCTGCATCAGGTAAAGAAGAATCCCAAAGTGTCAGCTAAAGACCTACAGAAATCTCTGGCACATGCTAACATTTTTGTTGACACATCTACAATAAGGAAAACATTAAACAAGAATGGAGTACATGGGAGGACACCACGGAGGAAGCCATTGCTGTCCAAAAAGAATATTGCAGCACGTTTGAAGTTTGCAAAAGAGCACCTGGATGTTCCACAGCACTACTGGCAAAATATACTGTGGACAGATGAAACCAAGATTGAGTTGTTTGGGAAGAACACACAACACTATGTGTGGAGAAAAAAAGGCACAGCGCACCAACATCAAAACCTCATCCCCACTGTAAAACATGGCGGAGGGAGCATCATGGTTTGGGGCTGCTTTGCTGCCTCAGGGCCTGGATGGATTGTTGTCATTGATGGGAAAATGAATTCCAGAGTTTATCAAGACATTTTGCAGGAAAACGTACGACCATCTGTCCGCCAACTGAAGCTCCGCAGAGGATGGGTGATGCAACAGGACAATGACCCAAAGCATACAAGTAATTCAACAAAACAATGGCTGCAACAGCACAGAATATGCCTTCTGGAGTGGCCCAGTCAGAGTCCTGATCTCAACCCGATTGAAATGCTGTGGCATGACCTTAAGAGAGCGATTCACACCAGACATCCCAAGAATATTACTACACTGAAACAGTTTTGTGAAGAGGAGTAGTCCAAAATTACTCCAGATCGTTGTGCAGGTCTGATCTGCAACTACAGGAAACGTTTGGTTGAGGTTATTGCTGCCAAAGGAGGGTCAACCAGTTATTAAGTCCAAAGGTTCACATACTTTTTCCTCCCTGCACTGTGAATGTTTACATGTTATGTGCAATTAAACCATGGCAACATCTAATGTTTGTGTAGTATTATGTTCAGCAGACTGTGTTCTTCTATTGTTGTGACTTAGATGACGTTCAGAGCACATTTTATGCCCAATTCATGCAAAACTCCATGTAATCCAAGGGGTTCACATACTTTTTCTTGCAACTGTATACTGTGTATTTTGCTGCTTGCCCGGAGTTCAGCATTAAAGCAAGCTATATGTTGCATACCTCTTGGTGAGGTCATTTACATAGCATAGAACATTTTTTCGACTCATGTTAAAATGACTCGCCCTTTAAAACGTCACGACTCTGTAATTAAAATTAATGTTTTTTTTTTCCTTTTTTTCCACTAGGAGACATAAAGGCAATATTACCGGTGGGTTTACCAATCCAAATTATGCAGGAGGCAGCATGACTTCAGAGAACGAGGTACATAAAATCTTTATCAGCCATTACAGTGCACTTGCTTTGAGCCATGCCAAAGCAAAACAGCAAAGCTCCCACTCTTATTTATTCCTGGAATGTGCTCTTTGGTTAGTAAAAGGTAGAATTTCAATGTGCTTGTGTATAATTGTCTATTCCATGAACATAGAGATGAACACAAACTCATACTGGAGTTTGTAGGATGCTATGGGGCCTGTGGACATGGGGAGCCCATTGAAGTGCCCATTATTTAGGTCTGCAACCATAAGGTGTCTTGGCCCCTCTGTCCTTTTGCTATAAAAAAGCTTCATTAAACCAACTGTGTTTTTTTCTTCTCTTGTCTTCCATAAAATTAAAACCCTTATCTTCACTGCCCTTACATGTGCATGACCTTACACTTTAGGATGGCTGATTCCATGGGATCTACACAGGGGACAAGCCTATGTTTAGCCTATGTTTAAAGTGTTACTAAACCCAAGACCCTGCATTCACTCTATCTCGTCTCCCACAGTACACAGAACATGGAAGTGCAATTATTTTAGTAAATATAAACTGCTAAATACCTTTTTTCATCAGCAGTTAGAGCAGTCTTGTGACTTCTATCTGTGTCCAACCAATTAACATTTTGCTATGGAGCCCCATGATTCGAAATGAGACATTTGATAATATGTTTTATGTTTTTGGTATAATGAGCTTGTCCCTTTGCACTCTATAATACTCTTTCCATTTAGTATTCAAAGGATGCCATGCTGCTAAAAGCCTGTGTTGATGGGCTTTTGTTTGCATCAAAACTGAGGCTTGAACCAAGTTAATACAGCTTAGAAGGAGGTCACCTGTCAGTGAAGCTGCATGCGCCCATCAACACAACCCAAAAGCTCATCAACACAGGCCCTAAGGCAGACCAGTTCCCTTGCCTAATGGTTACAGATCATGTGATCATCTTTCTCTCTTCTCCACCAACCCAAAAGCTGCATCACAGGTCTCTGTCAGTCTAAGGTAAATTGGCCTTTTCCCAAACTGGCCATGCTGTGTGTACAGGTAGAGTCCAGTAAGTCCAGTGTATCACTTTTCCTGCTGTGTGCCCATACGTGTAAATTAAAACAAGCTGCTTGTTATGAGGGCACTTGTGTGTGCTCATTCCTGAGCCCCACTCTGTGTCCATAAGACACACAGAGCAGAGCACCCCATTGCTCCCTCCTCACTGGTTTTGATTGACAGCAGCAGGAACCAATGGATCCCTCTACTGTGACTGAGCCAAAGAGGAGAGAGAGGGGCAGCAGAGCCTCTACTCTTGTGCACATCGCTGGATTCAGATCAGGCTCAGGTAAGTATTGGAGGGGGAAGCTGCACAGTGAAGGTATTTTACCTTCATGCATGAAGGTAAAAACCCTCAGCCAGGGGTGGACTGACAACTCATGGGGCCCCCGGGCAATAGGGGATCATGGGGCCCCTGTGTCCTCGCCCACACTCAAAAAAGCCTATGAAAAAGGTGCCAGGGGCATCTCATGGGGCCCCCTACTGACCCCTGGGCCCTCAGGCAGTGCCCAAGTTTCCAAATGGTCAGTCCGCCCCTGCCCTCAGCCTTCAGAACCATTTTGATCTTGGTGTGTTACAGTTTTCTGTCTCCCAAGCTCTTCCCATGCTGGGAGCTCTTAGACAAGTTTCTGTCCTTATTTCACCTAGAGTTCTGCTATACAACAACCAAAGTACCCCAAGACGGTAGAGGGGGTTGTTCTAGACCGCCATTGGGACCTGATCCGAGGTCTTTTCTGCAAGGAGCTCTCCTTTCTCCTATCAGGCAGTCCCAGACAGCTCTACAAATGAAATATTTACATGTTTTAGGATATGTATGCTTTTTTTCTTGCATTTAAATTAACTATTTTCAGTAATGTGATGTAATTGGTTTTACTGAATACATATATTATATGATTTTCTTCATAGTTTTTTGAAACTGAGCACCCCAATGTTCACATCAGTGTTTTTTTTCCATGGTCATCTACCCACAAGGTAGGTTTCTCAAACTTTTCTCTATCTATCTATCTATCTATCTATCTATCTATCTATCTATCTTAAAACAGAGAATTTAGGTAATCCTTTCTTCTTCTATTTTTTTTAAGCCTTTGCTCATGTAAAGTGAAATATAAATAGTTAGTCTTGCCAAAACAAGCATTTCAGTTTCTGGCGAATGCTGGAGGGATAAGTGATCAATTTCTTACATCTTTTGAGGACAATACCTGATGCAACCGCATTGAAGGACTCCTACTTTTCCTGTTTAATTTTATTACTTATAGTATGCCTAATTTCAAAGGAGAAGTGGGAACACCCAAAGGGGTATATGAGCAATCTGTACCCCAAGGAGTATGTCATAACTATGGCAGGGTGATCGTGTTACCAGAACCTACAAGAGAAAAAAAAAAGTAGAGGGTAATCATTCCACTAAGCTTCACCTACAATTTATTTTATTTATTTTTTTCAGGTACTTATATAGCACCATCAATTTACACAGTGCTTTACACATATATATTGTACATTCACATCAGTCCCTAACCCTCAAGGGGTGTACAATCTAAGCTCCCTAACTTAAATTCATACACATATTAGGGCCAATTTAGATAGATCCAATTAACCTACCAGCATGTCTTTAGAGTGTGTGAGGAAACCGGAGTACCCGGAGGAAACCCACGCATGCACAGGGAGAACATGCAAATTCCAGGCAGGTGGTCCCGTGGCTGGGATGAAAATATCACTTGCAGGTGGACTGACTCTTTAAAGTGGGAGTAAACTCCCATTGGACATTTGTAAATACAGGTAAGCTTATAATAAAGCTTACCTATAGGTACAAGAAATATTTCCTAAACATGCACCGTTTAGGAGATATTTAGTGTCCCTGCAGTTGGTGATGTCACCGGCGCATGCACTCTGAAGGAACGGCATATCCATATGCCATTCCTTCAGAGATCTGTGCCACAGCCAACATTCCCCCGTGCATGCAGACAGAAGACCGGGGGTGAAAATGGAAGCCCAAGGCTAAGTCCTGCCAACTGCCATTCTTCTGTCCAGTGAGACTGTCTCAGGGACTAGTAAGGGCATTCTTTTTGGACTGGGGAGGGTGGCAGTAACTGGAACCAGGGGAATGGGCATTTGACCCAACTGGCCCTCTTGTGTACATCTCTTGTGTACAAATATAAGGACAAAGAGATTGTAAGCTTTTTTTGAGGCAGGGAATGGTGTGAATGTCTATGTATCCTGTAAAAAATAATTATGCAAAATAAATACAAACCATCTGAAGACTGTAAGAAAAATAACCCTCCTTGCTGTTAGTTTGTTTCAATCTGGTCGTGCTTGTCTGTTGACAGACCTGTTTAATAACAACAATCTATGAATGTTTGCAAAATGCACTAACCTATAGCCATATTCACTGGCACATTTAAAGAACGTGAAAGAGGCCAAACATGGCAAGATTCCAAGGTGCAGACAATATAATGAGTAATATACCGATGCTGATATAGTAATAACAGGTTTCTAGGCACACTTTTTCCTACTTCAGTGCCGTACAAGTGTTCTTAGCTAAAACTGGAGATTTCCTTCAATCAGCCGCTCTTTGACAGGCCATTCCTCTGGAATACAAATAAAAGAACTGAGAGGGTGTACTTGCCATTGTCAGCACAGTACCACAGAGACATGAAACTACGTACGATACAAGATCTGCATTACATGGTTCTACCTGGCTCGTCTCTGATGTTCTCCTTCTCTCGCCTGTTTGCATGAATGTTAGACTGTGAATTGTAATTGAAAAGGCAACTGGGGAATTGCTTCCAGCACACAGATTAGAAACAAGAACTTGAAGGCTTGAGCAAGAAGAGGGAGAGATTTTTATCTGAAGAGGGACAGGCGTGATACCTATGGTCACTTAGCCAGCAAATTATGCTGTACTGTAAAATAATAAACCACTTGTGGAAAGAAGCCATACAGAATAAAAATCAGAAAAACTCAAGGGGAGCAGCAGCTTAGCGGGCCAATGTATACTTCCTTGCCATGGAAAAAGGAATGCCAAATTAGAGAACTATAACTAGAAATGCCAAATTATAGAAGAGTACCTGTTTGTCCATCCTGTACATTAAAATAATTCCCATCACTGAGATGTGAGCCATTCCAAAAGAAAAAGAAAATATTAAGATGTACTTATATAGAACTCCAGACAAACAGCAAAACTCACATCAAATACAAAAAAAAAATCCTATCTATCTATCTATCTATCTATCTATCTATCTATCTATCTATCTATCTATCCCTCCAAACAGTATCAAAATTTGATTGATTATAAAATCAGTATTCATTAATTCCTGGTTCAGTTGACCGTCACAATTGCACCTCCTGGGCACTTCGGAATCCGCACATTATGGAAGAACATCATGTTTAATTTACCAGGAGTGATGGTGGGGTGTGGCTTGCTGTTTGCTTGAACATGCCACATATTCAAGAAGATTTTGGAGATGAGGATTTTTATTTCCAACAAGATGGGGCGCCTCCACACTATTTTTGTGATGTAAGGATCTATCTTGATGAGAATCTACCTGTCTCGGTGTGCCGTCACCCTCCCCCCTCCTCCTCCCCCTTGCCGCATCCTCATCCTACACAGCCTCGGAAGCCAGGCTGTGCAAGATGGGACCCCCCACCAGGAGACCCCAGTGGCAGGCCGCCAAGGTGTCTCCGCGCGCCCTAGCGGGCACGGCGCGGGCACGGCGCGGGCACGAGGCATTCCCGCGCTCTGTGCTCACCGGAGACAAAGGGCCCGCTCCCTCAGTGCAGCCCGAGTTGAGGGGGCGTGCCTCGTTGCCCTGGCAATGTGGCTCTGGGCCGGCAAATGCCGGGGCAACCCGGAAGTGTCCGGGGAGCTTTAAAAGGCCGGCGCGAGAGCCGGCCACTCTTTTTCCTCCCGCTGCTGTCCCTGGGGCCACCGCTGTCGTGGGAGGTCCGGGTGGGGACTGGGCCTCCGCAGGCATCCCCGCTGCGTGCTCTGCATGAGCCCCCTCACCCAAGGTCAGACCCCACGGCCATGATCCCCGCTGCTGTCCCTTGCCGCTGGGCAGTCACGAAGGGAGCCCAGCTGAGGTGGGACCCTCGTGACCAGGCTCTGCCTGGGACCCCTAAAGCCTAGGGGGAGAGATCGCCTGCCTGCTACACTGAGACCCCAGTTCAGGGGTGGATTGCCTGCCTGTTGCCCGAGACCCCAGTCCAGGGGTGGATTGCCTGCCTCTCGCCGGAGACCCCAGCCTAGGGGGGAGATTTTTCGTCTGTTGCCGAAGACCCAGTCCAAGGGGGGGAGACTGCACAAGCCAGGCCCGCCTGATACCCCTCGCCTGTCCAGGACCTCCAACAGGTATCTGTGTCTTACTTTCTTATCCCTGGGGGACCAGACACCCTGTCGGATCCGAGGGCACATGCTTTCCCGTTTTACCTGAACTGCTTCTGGGACGATCCTGTTTTTACCTGAACTGTTCCTGTGATGACCCCCTGCCCCCTTATAGGATTACAATCTGCCACAGAGACTCTTCCTCTGCCCTTGGTGCTGGACTACAAGTATTTTAGCCCCCTCCTTGCTGTCACCCCCCCTATTGGCGAGACCACCCGTGCCAGGAACCATCCCTAGTTGTGCGCACAGATCACCCTTTCTGCCATTTTTCCCCATTGGAGTGACTGTCATTTTGTTGCCCTCAATAAAGCTTTGTGTGTTCCCCATCTTCTTTGTGTTTTCTGTCCTGCCTATGCTTCCGTCACACTACCAAACAGAGGGATTGGAAGTGGGAGGTTCAGTAGAATACCCTCTGCATTCACCAGATTTCACGCCACTAGGAAACTTTTTTTTATGGGGGGATTCCTAAAACTCAGACGCCAACTGCGTGACTTTTTTTTTTAACATTATAAAAGTTTAATCTTTATGCTACAAAACCGGCAACAGTTGATTGAATTAAGAGTAGACATTGAAAGAGAATGCAGCCAAACAGCAAACAAAATGATTCTCAATGTTTGTGATTATATTGCTTTGTGTTATCAGCAATGCCTGGACCAGAATAGTCATCAGTTTGAGAGCAGGTGCTAAGAATAAAATAAAAAGCACATTTACAGTAGGTATTTTATTTTAAAACTTGAAAGTGAACTGTATGGTAATAAATACTGGCATTATAATCATTTTGTGTATATACATTTTTGGGGCACCCTACAGTATATACTGTATACTGTATATATTACACTGCTCAAAAAAATTAAAGGAACACTTTGAAAAATACATCAGATCTCCAATCGAGAAAAATATATTATGCTGGATATCTATATTGATATGGACTGGGTAATATGTTAGGAACATAAGGATGCCCCCATCATTTGATAGAAACATAAGGATACCCTGCTCATGAAAGAAAAATGAAAATCATCAACCTACAGAGGACTGAATTCAAAGATACCCTGAAAATCAAAGTGAAAAAATGATGCAGCAGGCTAGTCCATTTTGCTGTAATTTCATTGCAGCAACTTACTCAATGGTACTCAGTAGTTTGTATGGGCCCTCACGTGGCTTGTATGCACACCTGACAACATCAGGCATGTTCCCAAT